GACTTTTTCAAATGAAAAATTGATCAAAACTTTTGCAACTTTTACTAATATGTATATATGTGTGATATACGAAATATAATATATGATATGTAATATATAATATATTATAGACAATATAATATATATATAAATTTATTATCTATTATGTGTAAGATACATTATATACCACATGCAATATGCATTAAGCAAAATCGAGGAGAAATTATTAATAAAAATAATTAGAATACGCCAGAGAGGTTTTTGTTAACCCAATATTTCTATGCTTATAATAAAATATTTTTAAAGAAAAATTTTTTATTAGAATGTTTTTCATTTTACCGGTAATTTTTGCAGTGACATTCTTTTGTCTTCCGTCTGTTAAGCGTTCACTGCTTCATGCTTATTTCTTTCTTAAGCATTTACGACTAACTGTCTGCTTTTAAAACTTGCTTATAAATCATAGTTGACATAATTTGTTTATAATTTTTGCATAACTTTCCAAACACAGTTATATTTAAATATTTCAACCGTCTGACAGCTTTTTTTTTTTTGTTTTTGTTTTTGTTTTCCTAGTTTCTATTATTGCACACAATTAGAAATAAGTTCACGGCTGCAAGCAACAACAACAAGTGTGTTTACTATTTTGCTGTAGATAACCCACGACTATGACCAAATGCACTCCGCTTATGCATGGCCTAATGTACCTAATGTAATGAATGCATTGGATCATTTAACTGTGGGTGTTAAAGCAGTTAAAATTAAAAAAAAAAAAAAAAAATTTTTTTTTCTTAAAGGCTTTAAAATAAATTATTTTTCTAAAAATTCTAACAAATATCGTTTGTAATATATCTTAAGTGAAAGTTTTCAAGTTTATTTATTTATTTATTTTTTATTCTTTCTACAACTTAAGTGTATTCCAGTTTTAGCATTAAGTTAATAAAGTTGTGGAAAGTTTTCCAAAATATGTTAGAGCGAGTAGCAGTAATAGTAGGAGTCGAAAAATTTATTCGACCTATTCATGGCACAGATAACATTAACTTAGTCTTAAACGTCGGCTTATATAAGCATGTGTTGACTGAATGAGTACTAACGGTTTTCAGACTGCCATACATATGCACACTTCAGTAGAGTTAGATGTAATTACTTGTCTTCGACTTTCATTCATCGTCACAGGTGAAAGTTCACATAATTTTCGTTTAGATCCGTAAATGTCTTCAAAAACATCTAAATACAGAAAACAAATTTGAAAAGCTGGAACTTTTTATCAATACTTATCTTCATATCTTCTGGCCCATGCCAAGTATAGCTCTAATATTTACGTGCCTATGCAGTTGAAATACTCACTAAAAGTTTCTCAAATTTTAATCCACAAAACCTGTCACTTGTTGATAATACTTTCCAAGTCACGGTCGAAGAACTGGGTCATGTTGATTTCTATATTTTCATTCGCCCTAATTTAAGAATTCATAAATGTATTTACATTTTATGAAATCAACTTTTTTATTCAAATTTTCATGCTCCTCTTTTCTGCCATTAACTTTTCCCTCCGGTCATCGCGTTTATTATTGCAGAAGTTAATGTAGACAGTTTGAAAATGCCTGCCCGCCGTCCACAAGAATGCTTCCAATAGCGAATATATTCGGTCGTGACCGAATCTTTTATACCCTTCACCGTTATCTTAAAAAAGACCAGAAAAATAAAAGAATTAAATTTGCATGCTCTGCATGCATAAGAAGTGGGTGAGGCTGATTGTTTTTTATTTTCAAAATAAAAGCCTTTGATGCGCAGTCGCATGAACGTTGTAGGCGTATGGTTTGAAAAGCTTAGGTCGCTTCCAAATTCTTTTGCAAATTCGTAGGCGATATTTTCATTTTTGCGGACAAGAGACTGTTTACCACAACAGTTTCACACACGGACAAATCGATAGATAAACGGACGGACATTCTTAGGTGCATTCCGAATTTGACCTGGCATAGAATTCATATACTTTATGGAGTTTTTGAAGTTTGTTCCTACGCTTGTAAAAGCAATGAAAAAGAATTTTTGGTACACAATATAGTATCGGGTAGGCGTGGTCAATTTTTTCCATTTTTGTATAGGCGCAACAGCATCGACCATAGAATGTGCATACAAGTTTTTGTGCATTTATCTACTATGGCTTATAAGTTATGAGCAAAAGGACAGACGGACATACTCAAATCGATTCAGAATTTAATGCTGATCAAGAAAATATATACTTTGTGGGTTTCCTGAAATTTCCTTTTGGGCGTTGCAAATGATTTGATAAAATCTCAGATAAAAAAAACAATAGCAAAGACTTTTATTAAAGATACATAAATTAAAGTACGATAACTGTACAGAGTAACAACATTAAAAATATGACTCCAGGCCACGACCCTGACAGTTGCCCACTTTACCTTGGAGCAAAATCAGTCACTAGCTTTACACAAACCAAGTGAAAAAATCATGTTTAGCTTGACTCTGTTGCACACTCTTTATATTTATCTCAGAAAGCACTTGAAAGAACGGGAAAAAAAGTAAATGTCGTTACTCTATAATATTGAGTGGCCCGTGCCTGCTGTCTACACTCTTAGGGAGGTATTGTATGATCATCCATAGAGTATATATATTGCTGTAATGTATTTCACCAACACAATTTTTTCTTTCAAATCAAAGGTGTTCTCAGCTTAAGGCGCCCTACAGGCATGCCCTTTGACCGATTTGGCTCATTTTCAATTTTAAATTTCAAGCAAAAGCAAAATGCAATTTTTTTCCAAATTTCAAGTCAACATCTCATATGTATATGTGGACGGACGTACAGACAAATAGATAGAAGAAGCATGCTTAGAATGATTGGAAGTTTGATACTAATCAGGAATGAATACATTATATAATGTGTGCAGATTGGTTGGTGTTGGAAACATTTTGGAAAAATTTCTTGCATCTCTTTCCTTCTTGCACCTTTCGGCGGTAAGGATAAAACGAAGAAGTTCAAATTATTTTTCTTGATATTTGCAAAGCTATTGCGAGCATCAATCTAAATTTGACCTACGGATTTATCGGGCTCACCCAAGAGTTTAGTGCAGGAAAACGATGACAAAGCCTCAACGTGATCGTTCAAATCACAGAAAAGCTTCAACGTAATTTGAGAAAGCGTCGCACCGAAATCTGTCGACTTGTTATATTTGTGCTTCTTGTGATCACCTGTCATACAAGCGGCACTGTTTATTAGCAGAGCAGAAGTCTTTATCGGCCAGCGTCAGCTTTGGAGCCAGAGTTTAGTTGCAGTTTACAGAAGTATAAGTGAGTGCAAATGATAAAGTTTTGTTTAAAACGATTATTATCCTAAACATTGTTTCAAAACCGCGTAGCTTTTAAGATTAAAGTGGGAATGGGAGACCTGTCGACAAGGCTTTAGTCAGCCGGTTATAACGAAGACATGCTCAAGCGATTGAGGTCCTAACAAGCCTTTTAGATTATAATTTTCAATACCTTTCTCAATTACTGCGCCCTTACCTCAGCTGTTGGTCAGAAAGTCCTGGTACAATGTGATAAACTCAAGAAATATATCTTAGGCTATAGAGTATGCAATTGTGATTAAAAAATCATCACAACTTTCGACCCTCTAGCTTATAAATGTTGTTGTTCGTTTCGCTTGCAAAATAAAATCAAAAATCATGCAATTCTCATATTCGCAACAAAAATTATGTAAGAAAAGCCCAAAGTCAAAACAATTCTCGGCGCCGGTTTTTCTTGGGTTTTGCTGCACCATTTGCACGATATCCCCTCAAATGGTTGGTTGTTTTCGACGCATATGCATAGATTGAAGTCTTATCTACCCTAATAGTGGTGCGTTTCATGGCAATCAGAAATCATAATTTTCAGTCAGTCATAATGAAAATTGAGAAACTCGCTCTGAAGCAATTGATTACATTGACCTGAAACTCCATATAAATGTCAAGGACTATCAAGCCGCAAATAAAATAATTGCAGAGAATATTAAAATATTGCGTAAAGCGTTTGTTCGCTTAATGCTAATCGCTAATCGTGACAATGCAAAACAAAAACTCTTTCTTTTCGTATGTTTAGAGCAAAATGTTGAGGGCACTGTTCTCTTTTATTATTTAATAATTATTTTCAAATTTTCTTCTCTTTAGCTGTTAATCTTTAATCATTCACTACAATTTGCCAAGCGTATCGTCTCTTAATGTCCAGGACTATGAAGCAACACATTGTGGAGATGTTGTTTTGAGAATTCAAAACGACTCGTTTAGAAAATCATAAAAACACATGTTAACCATATTTCAATTAATTAACTCATGCGGAATGTCAAAGCCTACTGCTCGTCGTCTTTCTTTCATAAAAAGCAATATCTTTGGAAATCCAACACTTAAGCTTACCATGCATTTAGTTGCAATTTGTCGTTCTTAGGTTCACTTAACCAAACTAGTAATTATCGTATGGTACTTATTATTATTACTTAAGAGTAGAAAAATTGTAATGACTTTAATGAAAACAGTGTGCAAGGAACGAAATTATTAAATAAAATCAAGAAAAATATTTTCACAGAAATATTAGCTAACAGGTGCATACGTAGTGCTTAACTTAACACTTAAGGTAACTTGTTAAACAGCAGCAATAACAACAACAACAGCAACAATAATAATAATAACAACACCAATAACAAGAACAATAACATATATATAAAAATATCTATCAACCTAAGTAACATGTGTGTTGTTTAAGCATATGTTGCTGTTGTTACCTTTTACGGTTAAACATTGAATTATGGTTGTTTGCTATACTTGATTAAGCATCCAGTTGCTGGCTTGGTTATATGAGACCATAGAGTTAGTTGAAATTAAAAAAAAAAAAAATAAAACTAAAAAAAAAAAAAAAGCTAAACCTTGAACGAATTTCTATTACGAGACATCGTATAATTATTATTGAAACAAGTAAACATAAAAATCAAAATAACATTATTATTAAACTAAAAATTAGATAATTATCGAAAAACTTACTCTGTTACATCATTTCCAAATCGTGTTTAATCCAAATTATTTGATTAGTCTTTACAAGAAAGAAGAGTTGAAAAAAAAAAAGAAAAAAATTGTTTTTTGTTTTAAGCTGCAACTGGTTTTTTTTTAATATGGATTCATTCCATCCATCTGTGTTCGAGAGACGTATTCATTAAAATTCAGTTGTTTTGCTTTTTTTGTTTCTCTTTATCCATTGATTACTTCATTAGCATATTAATAGTTCAATTAATTAATCTTTTAAAATTTTTGTAAAAATTAGAAACAAATTAAATTTAAATAAAACAAACATTATTTACCACCGTTTATCCATGTGGATAAATATTTTCAATTTTTCTTTTCTTTTTCTTTTTTTTTTTAAATTAAACAACAATTCATTACAACTTTTTCGCATAAATTAATTTTTCAGATTATGATGTCGTTCTTGTATCTGAGCTTTCTACATTAAGATAATTTATCTTAAAATAATTATTTTGCATAACTTTTTGTTGAGCATTGTTTTATTTTTAAAACCTCTATACACTTTACTTATTTTTTCCTCATTTTTTGTCTTTGTTTTTGTTTTTCCCTTTACTAAGTCATTTTAGTGTTTGTTACATTAATCATAAATGTTGCTGTTGTTGTTGTTGTTGCGGTTCTTTGTTTTGATTAAATATTTGTTTTATTACTAAACAAATAATAAATAAATCAATCGCCCGTACATACAAGTAAAGGTGTTTTCTATTCAATTTTTCACTAGCATAACGAAGCGTTTAATAAGGTCTTTTAAGCTCAAGCGCGCGCTTTTTATTTGCTTACAGATTCATATAAACATAGAGATATCAAGCAATGTTTAAGTTTCACATAAATTCTATAATAATTTATTTATTGTATTTTAAGTTTTCTTTTCAGTATTACGTATATTATCTCGCACAAGGTCTCGCGCGATAAGAAATTCACAAATTCCTTAAATAACTTTTTCGAAAAGAAAAAAATCGACTATTAATTTTAATTTGTCAGATATGATTTGATCTTCGGTTTTTTTTTTCAATTCTCTCATTTTTTTGTTAAATATATTTATGCATTTATTTTTTGTTTACTTATGAATATTTTCACGTTCCATAAATGCCTAAAGTCGGTTATTAGCACGCTTTAGTTTAATTTCATAAATATAATTCACCCAAGAATTTTGTTTATTTCGAAATTTATTGTTTTTGTCTTTTTTTTTTTCTCAATATCATTGAGTATATTATTTAAATTATGAAAATTAATTAAGAAAAAAAAAGGGCTCGCATCGCTCACTTTTCTAATTATTTGCTATTGACGCGCATTGTTTCAACAATGTTTACAAAATATATAAATTGTTTTTAAATTTATTTTTCAATCACGATATCTTTAAGAAGAAAAATAAAGCAACAATAATGATTGTTATATTATTTAAAGTTTCTTTTTTTTTTTTTTTGGTAAATTTTTCTTGTCGTTTCACGCTTTAATTAGTTAAGTTTTACACACATTGACTTTAATTTTAAGTTAAAAACAACAATATCTCCGCCTTTCTTGATATCTTGAAATTCACAAAAAAAAAAACACAAAAAATAGAAATGTTTGGATTTATATTGTAAAAGTTTCTCCCTCTTTCAAACACAAGTAAAACAATCGAAAAAATCCGCTCTCAGAGCAAAATTTTTCCTTTAGCTTTGACTGAGAATAAAATGCAATTTCTGAGAGTAAAATTATCTTTGCTTTATACATTTCATATACAGAGGCTAAGAATAAGCTGAGTATAATAATATTCAACATCTGAGAGTAAAATTGACTTTGCTTTACATTTCTTTAGCAGAAATTGAGAATAATAAAAATCAATTGCTGAGCGTAAAATTTTGTATGTTGTAACATACACAACATGTTCGAAGGAAGGCAAATAGCTGGGCTGTGCTTTAATCATCAAATCTTATTCGTGTTGTGTCATTAACATTTAAAGTAAATTTTACTCTCAGAAAAGTCAAAAAAGGGAATATATAAGAATATATAGCAAAGTAAATTTTACTCTCAGAAGTAAAAAGAAAACAAATACACAAAATTAAATAACAAAAGCGGACGCAAAAAAAAAAAAAAACAAATAAATATGTACATTTTGCATTACATTACATACATCATTTTCATTATTTTTAATTCATATCATTACAATTCTTTATTTTATCTTTATTTTATTTATATATTTATATTAACGGCATATTCATAGTAATATAATTTTCAGAGAGTAAGTGTTTTTTTGAAACCTAGTGAGCTTAATATAGTGTGCTAGCTTTTTTAAATCGGTGATATCTTTGTCTTTATTCATTTTATTAGCCTAATAGAGTAATTAGCCTCTTGGATTAAAAAAGATTCTAAATCATTATTAAATGGATAAATGTCGTGGAGATGCTAGGCAACAATATGCTCAGGAAGAATTCGTAGCTATTTTAAACACTTCTTAGAGCTTACTGGAACGGAGTTGTATGTTTACAGGTTTCTTTTGATAATATATTCGTAATATTCAATTAATAGAATATTATGGACGATATTTACCGCAATCCACTACTTTATCTCTTTCAAATGTATGAAATGTTCAACTATTGATAAGATTTGTTTTTTCTTCACAACCCGACCCGAATCCTCTCTTATATAAATAAAATAATATTATATTATCATTATTATTGACGTCATATATGTATAAAAGTTAAGATTGATATTATCATCATTAGCATTAAACATTAAAAATTGAAAATCCATGTACAATATACCAGAGCTATTTAATAAATTAAAAAAAATAAAAAATCATTTATTTATATACTTATTTAATATATATTTTTTTTTATTTTATTTTTAAAATTGTTTTTTAAATATTCAAAATTTTTGTGTTTTTTAGTTTTGTTACTAATTTGCTTTACTGTCTTTGCCGTGAGAGCCGTTTTTGATTTTGCTGAGAGTAAAATTGACTTTGCTGTGTATTCCTATGAAAACTGTTTTTACTTTTCTGAGAGTAAGAAAAATTGAAGAAATATTCATGTTTCTCTCTAGATCATGCTCTCTTTTTCAGGCTCGTATAAGCAGAAACTTTTTCCAGAGTAAACAAAATTTTACAATAACAATGCCAGTAAGCTGCCAAGTAATCAAAGAAATTTTCTCTCGATGCATGCGTTTGACTAATAATAATAGTTCAGCTAAAGCTGCTTCTGGAGTTTCAAACGTGTTGTGTTTTGATCGCATATCGAACCGCATTTGATTTGATGTTTTGTTGATCGAACATAAATGAAAGTTAGCTCTAAACAGGAATATTCACTTAAAAGGTCGTCGGAATCAAATTTTACTTATGACCTGCAGCCTTGAAATCCTTGGAATTCCTTCCTTTCATATCTGCGATTAAGTTAAAAGTTTCCAATGCTGTGACGACAAAAAACAGATACATGTAATGTATTAATTACTAACATCTCAATGAGGGCCAGCGTAGTAAACAAAATCGAAGTTACGTATGTCACAAATTTTTGGTAAAAATGTTTTGTAGCTTTCCTCGGTTTCTATGGATTATTAGCATTCGAGGAATATATGTCTTTATATCTATCACCGAAGGATCAGTGCTGCACCCATTTTGTCAAAACGTTTGCAACGCTCAGAAGGAAGCTTGAAAAACCCTATAAAGTACATATATATTCCTGTTCTGCGTTAAATTGTGAATAAGTTTAACTATGTCCGCCTGCCCGTCTGTTTAACGTCTGTTGTAAACATTTTCTTGGCCACAAGAATGCAGCTGTTGGCTTCAAATTTCCAAAAGAGTTTGGAAGTTCTTGCACGCAGATTGGTATTGGAAACGGGTCGAATCGGTCGAAGCACACGCCCAAACCATCATGTAAACTGAGAACACCTTTGTTTTTCAAAAAATTGGTTCCTTGCTCATTACTTCTAAGCTATAAGCTATAGCACATAAATGTACTAAAACTTGGACGCATATGGTGATGATGGAGAATTTGTGTACGAAGAGGAAAGAATTAACCACGTCTACCCAATATTATACCTTTTTAAAATTCCAATTTTTTTTTATAACATTTATAAGGCGCAGAAATAAGTTTCAAAAACCCGATAAAGTATACGAGTGACGAGTTTTAAATTCGGAAGGCAAGTAAACGTGTCCCTCTATTTGTCTGTCCATCCGTTTGTCTGCTCAATTGTATAGTATTTGCGGAAAGCATTCTATCGTTAACAAAAAGGAGGCCATCGCCTATAAATTTGTAGAAGAATTTGGAAGCGGCCTAAACTTTACAAACGACACGCCAATAATGCTCATGCGACAAAAACTTTTATTTTGAAAATAGAAAAGATTAGCTGCGCCCACAGCATGAAAATGTATAGCATGAAAATGTAGATCTCTTCTGGTTTTTTTCTTTTTCGGGATAACGGTGATAACGGCTATAAAAGATTCGGTCACGACCGAATATGACTTTCTTATTAGTTTTTTTTTTATTAAAATTTGAAACAGTTACGCTGCTTGCCGCAGAGCCGCTTGAGGTAAACATGTCCCCAGAGAATGGTTGCTATGTTGCCAGTTTTTAATATTGTTCAAAAATAATTTAGTTTTTTTTTCTAATACTTGAACGTGTGCCTAACAACCTATTCAGATATTATTGGTCTGTTACTTTTTCTTCTATACGAAAAAGTTACCAAAAAAACTTATTTTAGGCTCTTATAATGGTCTAATAGGCTTAATAGAATGGAGCATTTTTGTGGGTGCGGCACGATTTTATACTGGTTCAACAACACCCTTTCTTATCTTTCTTGAATCTATGAGAATCAGTTTCTCTTGATTATTTGGCAAAGTTGAACATATATTAAAAAAGAAGAGAGATAAGAAGAAGATTTTTCGGCTTGGAGATTTGTATACCTATCAAGATTCGTTTCATGATACCGATATTAATCCTCCCCTACTGCAACGTAATAGTAATCGAAAAAACTGGGATAGTAGCAATAACTTGCGAATGCAGCTTGATCGCAGCTTATCAAGCTCCGGTAGGATAAAATTCTTATTTTAAGACATTAGACAGTAGGTCAGTGTTAAGGTGTTTCAGAATGACTAACAGGTTTTATTCAAAATTAAATGAAGAAAATGAAAATGATCACTTTATATGGGCGCGGCCGATCCGAATAGTACTGTTCTATATAAAATAAATGTTGAAAATTCTACCTTTCTCTTTCTATCTTTCTATCTATCTTTCTATCGTTCTTTCCATCTCTCGATTCTTTCTATCTTTTATGGAGAATGCGTAAAAACTTATATATTTTTGTTTGGAGAAGCAGAACTACTTGCAGTTTACGCTTTCCTATAGCGTGTCCTTCGAACGACTTAACCCAGCAAGCACGTCCAATGTTTGCATCAGTGCAACAATGATAATAATAGGCCTTATAAAGAGAGACAAGCGGACATGGTTAAATCGATTCAGAATTTGATGCTGATCAAGAAGATACGTACAATTCTATAGTCTCTGAAGTTTCCTTGTCCATAGTTACTGCTTATGGTGAGTGTAAAAGAAAAAGAAGTGAGAAAAGGTGGCATTATACGAACTTAAGTACCTTTGCATAAATAAAAAAATTTTCCACTTAATATAGCTATATATATATGTATATATATATATGCATGATAGGAAATTGTAGCTAAAGTAGAAGATTGCCGCCAGTGACCAAAATATCATACATAGACCGCTGGTTTATTATTAACTTGTGTTATTTACTTCATTTACACGCCGCTCTGAGTTATTATTTACTCATTTTTTTTTTTTTTGCTTCTTTGCTTTAGACATTTATTTATTTACTTATTTATACATGTATATATATATATATATATATATATGAAATTATTATTTTTTTTTTTTTTACTTCCAATTCATATGCGATTTCACGAGTTACACACGTTGAATGACAACAGGTGAGCGAGCGTGTCTTATATACAAATTATTGTTTGTTTTTCTTTTTTTTTTTTTTTTGTTAATTTATTTTTAAAATCTCATATACTGGCTACACAATTGCACAATTTATGTGCATTTTAATGTATGTATGTATGTGTGCGTGCGTGCGTGCGTGCTTGCGAGAACAAGTAAATGCAAATAAAATCGGCCCCCACTTGTTGTCAATGGTGAGTTATTGACTTCGAGAGTGTGGTTAACATTAAAAAACCGCCTTCGCACATCTGCAATATATAACGTTCGTACATAACGTAACCCATATAAAAATATATTTTCATATTTTTATTATATATGTGTTTATATAACTCATATTTGTATCTATCTATATGGAGCTGTTTTAATATGTCATTTTTATGCATGTAATGCATAACGGAGTGCCTTCATGGTGATAATAGAATGATAAGGCACTCTTGTTAATTCTGCCCGATTGCTTCGGTTGCGCAGAAATGTGTTTTATTTGGTTTTTTTTTTTTGTTTTTTTTTTTTTTCTGCAAATAACCACAAATGCCAAAGTTGAAGGCTTTGAAAAATCTTTCAAGCATAAATAAGTGACGGTAACTACAATAGAGAATGATTATCATGATTTCATCAA